AGTTGACTAATGCATCAAGGTCTGCTTGAAGTATATCTGAGTCCTCAGGTGTTTGTATCCTTTCATAAAGGATGCAGTCGTCATCAAAAAGTCTAACCTTTGAGTTTCTTGGCTTTTTTATACAGACTCTTCTTTTTACAAATATCTTTCTTGATAGAATTGTTTATCCAAGGTAGCTTCCATCTAGAAGGAGTTATTTTTGAAGGAATAAACTTGTCCATACAATTCTGGACAACTTGGTTAAATTCAGTCACAAGTTCATTAAAAGTCTTTGAGTCCACGTAGTCAGTAGTCAGCTTCTCATCGAAATTCTTGAGACATTCCTCTATTTCTTCAAAGGTGGCGTTTTTATAAAGAAAGATCTTACGTCTCGCTGGACGAACTAATTTTGGTTTCACCGATACATTCACAATCACCGTCTCATGATCACTGATACCAGGAATCACCTTCGTACTTTCCACAAAGGATGGTGAGTTAGTGAAACACAAATCAAGGACGCCGTCAAATCTAGTCGGCTCTTTCACCTGCTGATGCAAGTTGTAATCGAGCACATTTCCAACATTGCCTTACTAGGTCCAGCATAACAACTGCCCGGTGTGAATTCAAGTTTCTCCCAGTCTACATCTGGAAGATTAAGATATTCCAGTAACCACACTGAAGCTTGAGATGGAATTTTACTGAAAACACTTTCAAGCTCCTTCACATAGTCGGTGTTGCTAACTTGCGAACTGTAAAATACTCCTAAATACATAAGCGTCATCCTTGCATGCTGATGCTAATCCACATGCTTTCGGTCTCTATCATTAGGTCAGATTCCTTATTTGCTATGAGGTTATCCTTAACTGCAATGAAAATACCCCCGTGTGTGTCGCCAACCCTATCCTTTCTAAACACTTGATTGCTCAGTGGGATGACTTCACCAGTGGTGATGTTACTATTTAACCATGATTCGGTCCCTGTAATCAAATCAGGATTTTCTGTGTTGAGCATCACCAGAAACCTATCAATCTTTGCTCTGACACTCTGATAGTTGATGTTAAGAATCTTGATGGGTTTGCACTTGGGTTTCTGCTTAATTTAAACTCTTTGACTAGCAGTGATACTATTAAGTTTGGGGCTAGAAGTAGGATGGCAAATGTTTCTTTAGCTTTTAAACTAGTATTCCACGATGCAGTCAGTGGATCAAATGAGTTTATTAATTCCATGCTGTCTGTTAAGTCAAAAATTGTCGAAGCAAAATTTGGAAGACCGCAGGTGGTACATATCCCACTGTACGATACATGATTTTGCAACGCTTCAAATACATGGTCACTCATGCCAATACATTGTTTATGATCCCAAATACTACACTCTTCACATGCGATGGCTTGTAGCTTCCATTTCACTGCCTTACTGCAAACACCACACGGGTATTTAGGGATGTAGGGACCCGGGTTAATAATATTGATGCCACCGGATGACAGTAGCATGAGCAAGCTAAGATGGGTGGTACTATTTAAAATCTTAATGGACAAAACTATGATTCAGGCTGGTTGATAAATTAAAGGAGAAATGGAATAGACTCACCGGCATATCTTCAGTAATGTTCAAAGATGTGTCAAAAAGAGAGGGGCACACCCAATTTTCAAAATCCAAAATGCTGGGCGGGCTGAGTTGTATCGTTATCGAGATGTCCAAAGGCACACAAAACTTCTTCAAAATGTACATATAAGTTAAACCAGTCAATGAAAATCGTAGATTCCCCATTTCTGATCGACAACCTGGCATATGTATAATAGTTAAAATGCTCACAAGTTCACACGCACAAATCAAAATAGATCACAAATGGCCGCGACGAAAATCACAAACACTACCATAACATCAAAATGTCCAAAATAACTCGAAGAAAAGTTTAAAAGTGCAAATGCATGGCCCAGCATAAGCTTGAAGCAATAAAAAGTCAATTTATTAACTCAGGAAACAAAATCGCTAAAAAATTAAATTAAAAAGATACCTCGGAGCTATCAAAAATTACGACTTGCACATAGTATGACCCTTGACCCTTGTGATTGCACATCCAAATACCTCAGAAGTATTTATAGTCGATTCTGAGCCTGGCAGCCGATTTAATCACTTCCATTTAGGAATTAATGAATTATTGGATTAAAAATGTTTTTCAATACACATGCGTTTTCAACTGATTAAGATCTTCGATACCCAGCACGATACGCGGTAAAGGGGGACCCCCCCCAAATGTGATGCACCAGATCTATACCCGAAGGCTATTGTGCCTACTGCAACCCCCCCCCCGAAATCTGAAAGTAATTCCAAAGATTCCCTCGACAAAAAAGAAGACACAATAGAGGGGGTTCCCTTTGCCACGTATCGTGCATCACGGACATCTTCCTCAGTATGCCTTTTGGAAAGTTAGCGTCGCTGTCGGAATTACGGACGATTAATTGACCCAGGCTGTTTTTATTCCCAGCCTTTTACCAGAATACTAAGGGACAATACCCACAAAATTTCGATTTCCGTTTCCAAATTTGTTTCATTGTGCGCGGGAAGGCAAAATCATACAAAGACGTGACGTAGGTTGCCTGGCTACGGCCTGCTGACGGCGCCAAGACAGTGATGACGTCACGAGCATAATGAATATCTCCGTTCCTGTCCTTCGTGCACTGTGTGGGTAGAACTGGATAATTATTCTCGACCCCAAAGCTGTACAGCGGAAAATGGTAATATCCACAGTTATAGATTTTCTTTAACACTCCACATGACACTCGACATCGACGGTATTGTCGGTGGTTAATGTCTAACCAGTTATTGGATTTGTGAGCTGAATTGCTCCAGAATTATGCAAACAGAATCGCGCTCTGCAATGTGTGCTTAGATTCTCCCCAAAATATCAGCAGATTAAGAGAAAGAATGATCGATGGGTTAGTTCTATAGTGAGCATGGCCAAAGATGAGAGAAAATCGCTTTTCTGTGAGCCGAATTGAACCCAAATGCTCAAACATGAGGATAACAAAACCGTTCACTTATTTTTGAAGTGTTGGTAATCTGCAAACATGAATTTTTAAGTGCCATCTATGAGGAAACCGCTCACACACTACAGTCTTGTTACACTACACACTCAATCACGCAGAGAGTGTTTGCCTGGTATCGATTATTTTTCTGAAATTGGAAGGAATAAGATATAGCGAGCTTCCTCGTGTTCCTCGGATGAAATTACATTCTCAGAGTGACGCAGACCATTGTGATTCTGGAAACTTTACAAGAAATTTGTAACATGGCAAAGACCTTAGAATAATACAGCATACAGCATACCGGTATTCATATTTAAAATTACATTTCAATTCAATAAAAAAATAGCAAAAAAGACCTAAAGAGGAGTTTAATACAACCACTTAAAAAAAATAAAAAATATTATTTGTTGTGTTGCATTGGGCAGAGGTATCCGAAGCGCAGAATAATTGAATACAATTAATTATATCATGCATCACAATCATGTGAAAATAAACCCTCTCTGTTAAAATGGACTATTAATCAACTTGAACGTCTGAGAGCAAAAATCAAATGCACCCGTGACCCTCATTACGTGGCACACCGACTAGGGTAGCCAGAGATCACGGCAGAAATTATAGATTAGCACAGCGCTGTCACGGGAATACTGGTAATCATATGAATGGCCGTCTGCGGGCCGGGACCAATCGCCGGGTTTAGAATCGTGAGGACACCACATTATGCCTTCGCATACGTACGGAAATTCCTCCCACGACAACCGCAGCATCATTGGCGAAGCAAGAGGGACTTCATCAGACGTAACGTCGAACTGAAAAAGGAAAAACACATTCAGAGTCAGCGTGTAGGACGAGAGACATTCTTGGCAGCTGTTCCAATTTTTTGCTGGGATTTAGTTCATTTCTGGAATCTAAAAAATCGACTACCGATCGCACAGGAAAGTAGACGGGGTTGAAAGGGCCAAAGTAGAGGAAGGGGGACTAACTGGGTGGATTTCGCGGCGCAAGGTGGTCGGGAAGTCAGAGGTATGGTTGCCGTGTCACCATCATGCGGTTCTGTCAAGATGCTGCCTATGCTGAGTCTGTGCCTGATCGCCTGGGCCGTCGGAGAGATCCACGGGGCTCGTGATGGCGTGTACACCAACAGCTTCGTGGTGGAGATGCACGATGGTGCCGGGGAGGCAGCCCACAGTATCGCCAAGAGACACGATTTTGAATATCGGGGAACGGTAAGTGGTTATACAGGTATTTGCAAAGGGAAACCCTCTGCTTTCGCTGTTCTCAAACGGTACCAATTCCATGAGCTCGTTATATCTGTACGCCTTTCTGTAGAATGCCTCTTCGTATGTTGAAGAATTACTCCTATTTAGATCAGATTTTAATCTCAAACGTAACTAGGTGAGGGTCGGGGCACGTAAACCATGCCTCCAAATCTAAAAAAATTTTAATATTTTAAATTTAAAATAATGAGGGAATTGTGATTTTATTTAAGGTCCATTTCCTTTTACTTCCTTCCAGAAGCGTGTGGAGAATGCCAAAATATAGCCTCGACTCTCAGAAGGGCCGTAAAAGGTTACATAAAATCCAAACTTTTTGCCCCCCCCCAAATTTGCCTACCCCACCTCCTCATCCACCCTTGAGCGTAATTAGAGTGGAATATGCAGACTGAAAATAATTTACAGAGCGCGTGCAGAATATCACGAATGCTTATAACAATTACCGTGAAAATAATTTTATGCGGTGTCAGAATGTAATATTCCATTCTACTCAGCTTGACCTCCCGCGGGAAAAGAATCTGAAGAAAGCATTCTTTCCTCTGTGCTCATGTAAAACCAGCATTATTAGTTAAAACAACGCCCGAGTAAATCCGTACCTGAAAATACCAGAATGCTCGACACGTTCAGAAATTCAGAATATGAACTCCCGGCTGTATTCCGCACAAATAAGTCGGTGACACATTGTCAACGATCCACTTAACAGATAATGGGGGTTAAGCGCTTGTAATCCGTAGCCGCCCAAAGCACTAAGCCAGGAAAACAACCTCAAAAACAATCTCAACTACTCCGGTTTTCCTTATTCTTGACTGAAAAACTGCATTTTTCAGCCATGTACAGATATAATCAATAAGACACAGGTGTTCCAATTTCCCCGGCGCTGTCATGCTTAATAAGGGAATAGGGCATATATATTACAACGTCACATATCTTCAAAATTAAACAAGATGTTAACTACTCATCTTTTCTTAGTGGAAGCTATGCCTAATATATAAGAAAGCATTCACAACTGTTAATCAAGCGACAGTTAAGGTCATTCATTTATAAATGAAGAAAAAACCGTAACAATGTACCTTTTGAGAACGGAGCACCCTGCTATGCTATGTGGTGTAAATGAAAACACTAAACTGGTAATTTTATTACAAAGAAAACAGAAACGCTTTTTTGCCCAATCTTTTATGTCCATTCATTAATGGCAGATGACATGATCTCCATTTTGATTCCAGGTAAAAGAGAAATGGCGACATTACACGCATACTTTTTTTTAAATGTTAAACTAGTCGTAGTTTTCAACCAAGAACCATTATTAATCACCGACATTCTTTTATAGGATTTAACGGCCAGTATTGCATTCATACAGTATCTTTGTTTATTTGTGTTCTTGTATTCCTGTGCAAGCTTTTCTATAGTTTCTTAATCGGGCCACGGAATTTTGTCTCAAAGAAAAGTAAGATTTGAAAATTTTCACGGTGGAGGGTAGACTGAGAGAACGTTTGCAGGTACATCATGTGGATTCAATCTCTTCTATGAAAGTGGTGGCTCTAGTCTTCCTCCTCCTGGGGACGACCACAGCATCTTGGTCAAAACGTCGAGTTTACACTCATCCGGTTCTTCCAAGAACCACCACTTTTATAGAAGATATCGAATTCACACACAAGACAAAAGGAAAGTAGTGTAATAACCACCGCGGTCTCCCCCACGTCTCAGTCTCACTCAAAATAGTTTTGCGTCAGTAAGGGAAATAAATAAACACACAACCAAAACCTGAGCAAACACACAAACACCATTGACAAGCCACCACAACAAAATGTCTCTATACGTGAACGACTTGTAGTGTTAAATACAGAAATCAACTATGGCCAGCAGACAGCTTATTCTAGTGCGCGATTCTTCACTCCCACGAAGCCCTGGCGCATAAACGTGACCTGAAATAATCGTCGGCTATCACGACGATCAAAGTGTTTCAGACCTTGATGCACTGCAGACTTCTCAAAACACCACGATGTAGATCACCTTTTGGGCTACAGCTGCGGATATTTTGAGGACATGTTCTGGATTTCTACTACACGGTCTGGATTTCTACTTGTATGCATTCGATTCTTTACAATCTTTCCATGAAAGACCTTGCTGTCTAAGAACACAACAAAGCAAAATATACATTTTCAAAATTGGAAAACTTGGCGACAGATTTTACGAAAATAACGGCGATATCAAATTACCTGGTACGAAATGATTTACATTGGCTGTGTGTTTTCAGGAAAATTGGCTCTAAAAAATTCAATTTTTCAGGCCCGAATACCAGTGGCTAAAAATCTACGCAATGCCAAATAATATGAAATAACATGATTAAAATAAAGGAACAGAAAATGAGATGATGGGGTGTGAAAATCCAAAACCTTTTCTCGGGAAGAGAATGGTTTTATCGACTGTGGACGAAAACTAAATCGTTAGTCTGCGCATTTCAAACGAATTAAGCAATTTAATTACTCGATCAATTGTGGCAGAGTGGTTAAACAGAATGTACCTGTTTGCCAAGATAATTGGGAAGGCGTAGACAAAGATGTGTAGACTAGATAAGGGTATCTATTGGAAGAAAGCTGGAGCACTGAATTTATTTCCACCGTGCATAACATTCAGAGGAAAAAAGGAAATTTATAAATGTAAGATGTTCCGATAGAAATCAATTTTCAATCACAACTTGCACCGAAGTCATGCTAGTCCTATTTTTGTGTTCTTGTATTGGGAAACATCTGCTCCCTGCACGAAACTCACTCCAGGTTGGTTTTCATGCACGTCACGTTTTCTATGTTTAACTGTGCGTGGGCAAATATTAACGGAACCCATTACACAAAAAGCGCTTAAACAAAGTGATTTAGGGGAACAGATCAGTCTTACGGATGTGGTCCCCGCTTCACTCCACTAGCAAGCAATTGTGCCTGCTACATACTGTTAGGGCTTAACTTTATATACACGTTTACATACTTTACTCTCCGAATTTCCAAACTGATTCTGATAATACTCGCGTACAAATATTTAATGTTAATAACTAATATTGGAATTTCTGAAATACATACCAGACAAAAAATTCTATTGTTGGGTTTAAAGTATTTCAGGTTTCATTTTCGTGTGTCATTTCATTAAAACACATTGTAGGTATGCATGCAAAGGATTTCCTTTGTTACACTGTAAATCTTAATCAAACACGGGGAGGAGCTAAGAACCACTTGCCTCTTATTGGAGTGAAGCAGGAATATGACAAAAAGCTGGGCGGTAAAACCTAAATGAACGGACCATAAAAACTGGAGCAACATATTGCAAGCAGAGGAAAGATTACAGAATTTTAAATTGGTAAAAAAAAAACAACCGATTGCCAGTCTAATTATAATTTATTTGGGTAGAGGAGCCTTTGCTGTCTTATTTCAAAATATGGTTGAAGGATTTTATCTCAATATCAGGACTTACATGAAAAGTTGAAAGGGAATACCTTCCTTACGTGTAGACATGTCCACTGGAGTATTCGAGCACTATTAGCTTTTGATTATGCCTAGATCTTTTCATTATGCTCCATTGCTCACGGAAACTGATGTAAACTTCCGGGTCATATTACCCCGGAATCTGTGTCCATTGAGCTTGACCATGTTCCAGGTAAAAAAAATGACCCACTTGTGGGTCATCTTGACCCTTTTTTGATTCATTTTGACCCAGCATGAGTCCTTTTGGCTCAAAGGACACCGATTCCAGGTTATTCTGACCTCGAGACTTTTAGATTGCACAGCTATGGCGATTTACCATGCGCGTCATTCGACAGGTACCCTTTGAGACAGCCATTACTACTGTTGGTTTATGCTCTATTCATGTGGAATGCCGGGTGTGATAAGATGGTCCTAACTCTCCGAAGCACTTCTTTAAAACAAGAACAGAAAGGCAATTTTTAGAGGACCACATGTATTTCTTTTCCCTTCCTTTTAAAAGCGTATAAAAAATCCTTAAATTTAGACTCACCTCCCAGAAAAGCCCACAAAGTTACATAAAGAAAGTCCATTTTTTCACCCCCACCCAGAAAATTTTAATTAACGATTCGCCTTGGCCAGTGGCATGTTCAGGTCTTTGGATGTGGGGGGAGGGGGGTTAAATAGGAATCATATTTCCCTAAACAAACCTCTGAAGTTTTCATCCATAACAAAATTTTCCCCCAAGACAGGTGGTAATGACGTTTCTTAAATGCTGGCGCTTTCCTTTTTAATGCTTCGTTTAGCCACGATAAAAAACATTAGCACAGCTGAGGAATAAGATTTTATTGATTACGTTTTGCATTTGGCCAGACAAGGGCAACACGTCATCCAAAGCAGTTAGGTCTATACTGCGCTGCTGTTTCATCTATATGCAAATATTTCCTTAGATAATAGCTTATAATAATACGTTTTGCAGGCCATAAAAAATAAACTCAGCTCCCATCACTCTCTTGGTTTGGGCGCCAAAACCACGGCATTTAACCCGCCAAGTCGAGTTATCCGTGTAACTATTTCCAGCGCAGTTTCATAAAGAAAGCAACAACGAAGAAACGGACCGGAACCACCGATGGGAATCAGTAAATTTTGTTTTCGGGGCGGGGATCGGTGATTGCACATGATTTACAATATTTATTTTACCAGGCTTTTAAAAGAAGGAGTACCTGTATTTTTCTCCCGCACTTTTTTCTCTATTTTCGAATAAAAAAAACCAATTAGCTGTGATTCTTTGGTATAATTCAGTCATCAATGTCTCCAAAACCCTTCCAAATAATAAAAACAGAAACAATCTGTAATTGAGAGAAGAAAGTACGACTCTAAGGCTAAAATATGTTTCAAGATAAAAAAACGGCTATCAGTGGAAATTTTTAGATTTTTAGCTTGATATCTCCCCTTATATATTCAACCTCATGTTTTTTGGTCAACTAATTGCAAATTCAGGGGGTA